CGAAGTGATGCTAATGAATTGTACTCAACATTCAGTGATTTAATTGTTGTATCCAATGCTAGGCTTACTACTGTGATATAATTAATTAACTGTGCAATGTACTACTACCCTTTAGTTTTGTAATTCAATTCAGTCGCGATACTATTGTTTTTTTATTTATTTTGTCAAATTATTGCCATTACTGGTAAATATAATCTGGATTTTGGAGGCTTGTTCAAAGAATCAAATTAAATAAGTCAATAGTTGCAATCGCTTTCTAGACATGTAATCAAAAATATTTTTTGTAGTAAGGTGTTGGAAGTTAATTCATATTATCTAACAGACTAGTGGCATTATAAATTATTATTTTTTTCGAAGTAACATGTTGGACCTGGAAGACGGTTAGGACTATATATTCTTTTTTCTTTCTTTCTAAACATTTAGCAACTTTAATATCGTTGGTTTGCTACTTATAAATTTCCCAACTGCTCATTGAATACTCATGACACTTTGTGGATAATGGAAATCATGACTTTTTATATTTCTTCCATTATGCTTTGTGTCAAACTGTACTTTTCAGATGCTTATATGCATGAGAATGTCTCACAGACTATTTTGTATGGTTTTTTGGTATAGTTCATATTCATTAATATCGCAGCATGGTTAAAATTTTCTTTCAGTGTGTTTCTTGTGTATTCAATATTTTCTAGCTAGTACTGTTTTGAGGGCGAACAAACGCCTCAATAATTTCGTGATTTTCAATTCGAGTAAGATACAAAGCTGAACGTCTCAAATTCATTACTGGAAGCTCAGTCCAGGTGTTTGTTCGGAAGTCATAAGCTTCAGTTTCACCGATAGTACCAACCATACCACCATAACCCCCTGCTACTACTACCTGGTTATTCAGTACCTCAATACCGAAATTTGATCTGGAATAAGAATAAATTACACAAATGTATAATTGGTCTTCACTTCAATGATTTACAAATAGGGGGAGTGAACAGTGATTGATAAAACTTGAGGTTCAGATCTTCATAGCTTACATATCCCTCTTACACTTGACTCTTTTCTATGAATAATTTATTAACATTGAAAAAGCGAGAATATATCAAAACTTGATTCACCTTTGTCGGTTCATTGACCGCAAGCGATGCCATTTTCCTTCTCGACTATCAACAAATTCGCAACTTTGTAATCGATTTGTACCGTCAAATCCTCCACAAATGAATAAAATACCTTCAAGGGTTGTTGCTCCAACACCAGAACGCTGTAATCACTTATTTCTAATGATATCGAATTGCGATTGATTTTTGTCAAAAATTATTTGCTAACTTTTGTACGAATTACAAAAGTTTATAATATGCGGAAATATCAATCTAATAAAAATTAAGAGAGTTTTTAAAAACCGTTCAAAAAAGAATATAAATTTTACGGGGCTTGTCATATTGTCGCTCATAAGCAACCATTTGTCATCAACTGGATCATAATATTCTACAGTTGCGTGGCAGTTCATACCATCAAAACCACCGATGGCATACGCTACACCTCTAGATATCACGCACTGGCCATCACTTCTGTGATTAAAATATATATTAAGAAAGTAATTTTAAATATATTTTGTCTAATTAAATATTTGGTACTAGATCAGAAAATTTAAACTTTGACAAAACAGTCATTTATTTTAAATATGTTTTGAGCAATAAAAATTTAAGGTTCAAATCTGCAATTGCTAATTAATTATTTATTTAATCATGCAAAATGTTGAACCTTCTTAAACTCATTTCAGCAATACGATGCCACTGATTTGTTGGTATATGAAAGATTTCTGCTGATTTCAAACGATCATGATTGTTATACCCACCAACTGCTATGATTCGTTCACAGTCAAGTAAACCGCAGCCAACATAACATCGTTGGTCGTACATTGGAGCTACTTCTACACATTCCTGCGCAAATGTGATAAAAAAAAATTAATCAGAATAAGTATGGAAAAACTTCTCTACAAGCTGGGCATATTAATTTTTATCTTGTTTTTGAAAAAAAAAA